ACCCGACCGTCCCCGTTAAATCGCGACGTTATTAGAGATTCTGAGCGGAGAGAGATATGTATAATACATTATTTTGGTCCGACTATGATGTGCGCTTTTTTTTTTTTTTTTATCCCATATAGCCGGCGATTAAGAAAATCGTCTTTCGATTTTCCAACCCGTTTTTGTTATAATCGGTAAAAACCGGGAAATACCGGAAATTTTACGGCGATAATGGTGATTCGCGTAGGTATAGTTATTTTTTCGAGTTTATTCAGTTTTTTTTTTTTATTTTTGTTGTTGTAAACCGGTGAAAAATTATAGCAGAGAGGTAAAATGGTTCGTACAATATTAGCCTTTTCAAGACGCGTTGAAATATTCAATACATTTCGGGCATTTTTTTTTCAAATTTTTATAAAAAAAATACGGCTCATTTCATACAACGATGTATAATCGAACTTCGCTCAGAATCGTTTATCGTTAACAATGATTTCTCGTTGAACATGGATATAAATTCAATAACGTTACGCGTATATTGTTAATTATTATTGTTTAATAATTTTAGAAAACACAGTAAACCCGGCCGCCAAAAGCATATTTTTAAATTCAGATTTTACCATGGATGTGGTTTTTTTTTTATTATTATTATTTTCGTATACGTCATCTCTAACAGAAAACTTGCAGCTCCGAACGAAAACTTTATACGCGATTTCTTGCAGCGTCTTTGATCAACTGATTCTCGTGTCGGTGCATTGCAATCGTTTGATTTCGCCTGATAAACGGCAAACACTGCCGGTTTTCCGCGTGATTTCGCGTCATATCCGGATTGCCTCGTGGACATCCGCCACGCGGCAAAATCGCCCGCACTGCGCGATACGATAATAACTGTGCAGTATTCCGCTCAGGACCGTTTTTCGATTACAACGCGCGGGTTTATCGCGTACGGGACGAGCGTAAAAACGATATTATTACCACAGTGTATAGGTACAATATTATGCGCTCCCATATAAATCTATACGACTCCATAAAACCTCGGCGTTATCTATTCTTTTTTTTTCTTTTTTTGCCTTTTTTTTTTCTTTGCCGCCCGGCGCGGCGGACGAGGTTTTTTTTTTTTTATTTTTATTTTTTACGCATTTTTCGGCGCCTCTCCGTACACAGCTCGTGTATTATTATTAGACGTTATTATTCACGGTGACTATTATTCGGTGCGCGGCGGCGATTTAACGATTTCCGATATAAACCCGCGGCGATGACGGCATTGATGGCCCGCGAACACGCGATCCGAGCCGTTAATCGCGTACGCGATGCTTTTACGCGTTTTATGTTTCCAATAAACTACATTATGACGCGGCGCGCCGTATTCCGCGAACCGGTAAAAAAAAACAACAAAAAAACGTCCGCATATACTTTCGAAATAATAATAATAATAAAAAAAAACTTGTAAAAAAAAAAAAAAGAAAAAAGAAAAGAAAAAGAAATGAAAAAGAAAAAAAAATAAATACCGCTAGCGACGTCCAAGAGTCTCTCGCACGGTCTAGACGTACGCCATTTTTAATAATTATAATACACTCGCGCGCGTAATTAACAAACAAATAAAATTTCGTTGACGTCATGAGAATTATTTTTAGTCATTTGAATATTATAATATTGTATAGTGCGGTACGCGTGTCTCGTTTACTATACCGGGCGATCCGTTTGAGCCGGGCACACTCAATTGTATCGCGGAACGTATTGCAACTGTTTCCGGAACGTTTGTGGAACGGGCCGCTCCACGATTCCGCGTACTTACGTTTGGTGTTTGGTCGCCCGTATTTTCGGGGGTAAAACCACTAAACCTACATTTGATTTTCAAACGACCGCAAACGTTGAATAGTTAAAATGCATTTTAGCGTTGAAATGTTCGATTTCTGTCGGCCCGTCGATATTCCCGCTTTTGAGTTTGAACCGGAGGACGGTGTATCATAGCGGAACGTAAATTTGTATGCGGCGGTCCGGTGCGCGACGCGTTAATAATGCACCGCACTTTACTGTCCTCCGACCCAAACTTAAAAACGAAACATCACTTGACGGAAATCAAAAATATCAACACTGAAATTTACTTTAATTAACACTACATATCTGTTTATGGGATTTTTAATATAGGTTTCCGTTTGAAAATCAAAAGTAGGCAGTGGTTCGATCCCCGTCGATAAGTGCGACAAAAACATAACAAATGTCATCAAGTACGAGTATATTCGGGCATAATTGAACAAGTACGTGGAAGCCGCTGGCGTTAACGAGTTCAAAAGTTGATCGTTTTTACCCGTTGACTAACTTGAATACACTCGACACGTATTTTCGGTTTTCATTGTATGCACTTAGGCGTACAAGGTGATTCACTAAGCGTGCTCGCCCACTTTTTTTTTTTTCGGTTAAATTTTTCATGCATTTCAAATTTCGATTTTCGGGATTTTTAATTATAGTCAAAGCCGATATGTCCGAATACTATTAGATTTTCCACAACGTAAATTTTGCTATCGACATTTTTAATGTCCGTCAACCCGTTAACGAAATATTCCATTTATAAGTTTAAGTCGAGGAGGCAGTATAGTGGTGCGCTAAAAAAAAATACCCCGCTACAGCTCTCCGTCGACCTGAACTTTCAAGTGAAACGTCCCATTAAAAATGTTGACACCGAAATGTATTTAAAGTGATACTCCGTCTATTTATAGAAATTTTAACATAGGTTCTCGTTCGCGAAACCAAAGTCGGTATCGCCACAGGACACTCCTGAATGTTGCGAAAAATCCAAGTATTCGAAAATATCGTCTCTAATTACGCTTAAAAATCCCAAAAGTCGGAATTTGAATGTATGCGAAAATTAACCCGAAAATATGGAGCGAGGTGCGCCTCCAATTTACGCCAGCCTGTACACAGTTTAAGCGTTCGACTTTTTGCAGTTGATTTCCACCAGCGAGTACGGTTGAGCCGACGAGTCGCGAAGACAATAAATTATACTTGCGAAATTCGAATGTTCGATTTTAATTCGGCTGTTGTTCTCGGCACTGCGATTTGTACGCGCAGTTTACTGTACTGCGTTTGATTATAATTTAGTTAATTTTAATTTTTTTTTTTTTTTTTTTCTTGTAAATCGGAACAAATTAAATTGAACACTGGACTCGTAGAAAAAGTCACAAAATAGTTCAACACGACTTTTAGCATTCTAACTTTTAACTCGAATATAGCTCGAGGTTTTCTCGTTTATTTAAACTTATTGATCGAGTCGATTATTTTACGTTCGCCTTGCCCACGTTCGTAAGGAACCGAGTCGGCGACGGCGTGTCCGGAAATTTTCAAACATTGTTCACATACGTATATAAATTGATCGTGAAATCTTCTTCGCTCGAATACAGACTGCGAATGTCGGGAAACGTGAAAAGCCGAGATATTTACGCGTTTCGAGAATTTTCGAGACAATTGCTATATGGGAAAAATCCGCGTTACGTTACAAATTCAATCGGGTGGCGGCGCGGAGTGATATGTGACCCCCTTATCTCCTTCGACCTGAGCACGCCACTGCAGAACCGAGCGAGTGGATGCACGTAAGCAGCGACGCGCGGATGGGGGAGTAGGGGGGGGGGG